TCCACATCCCATACCCTCTCTCATCATGCATTTTCCTGCCAGTGAAATCATGCTCTACACTGCTGCCCAATATGAAAGACCCTTCACCCTGGAATCCCACCTCTAAATCCTTCCTAGCACTTGAAAATCTCAACCATAGCTGTTTCCTTTCTGGTTCCTTCCTGATCTGTAGAATCCAAGTTCAGGGTTCCAGAGCCTTCCGGGGGGCCCTTTTTCATTTCTGTACACACCTGGTTCCCCACTGGACTAGGGGCTCCCCCAGGCAGGGCTGTGCACCCAGCACCTCTGCTTTACCCACCCCACCTGGCTCAGCACAGGAGCTCAGCAAGTGCTCATGAATGAAGGATTCTAAGAGTGAATTCCAACAGGTGTGTCACACAGCCCCTTGCCTCCTGCTGGTCCTGGGGAAGTCCTCAGGACAGTCAGCAAGTAGTTAAAACCGAGTCCTCTGATCCTCTGAGATCTGGCCTCCTGTTTTGTGAGGGTCTTGTGACCTGCATTTTAATTAGGACTCTAATGAAAACACAGACCTGAGAGTGAATGTCACTGGCCATCAGCCCTAAGGGTGGGACTTGGCCTGGACAGCAAGAAACTGCAGGCCCCAGGACCCAGACCCAACTTTTAGCTTAGGCCCAGAGGAGCACCTAGTTAGGCTCACATCCCACAGAAGATCATGATAATGTTAAAAGAGAGGGTTTCTGTACTTTTATAGGCATATTCGACTGAACCCAGGTCAGCCCTCACTGCCTACCAAGTGGCAGAAGCCCCAGGAGAATACTCTGGTGAGCTGGAAGAGTTTGCACGAGGATCACTCAACCATCATTGAGTGTGCAATGGCAGTCAGTGCCAAGTGGAAATTCCCTTTAAATCTCAGCAACTGCTGGTATGATTTGCTAAAGCCCTTCTGAATAACAATTTCACAATCTTAAAAGTGACCACACCCTTCCCATGAAACAAAGAGCCCATACATGTAGGGAAATAACCCTCAATGAAGGCAATTCTTTATAAACAAACTTGCTGATCACATCACTGTTTTGGGGAGAAGACAAACTGTAATAAATGTTCACCAGTAGGAAGATTGTTAAATAATACATTTACTGGGCTGGGGTTGTGTCTCAGGGGTAGAGCCCAGCATGTGTGAGGCACTGGGTTCGAGCCTCAGCACCACATAAAAATAAATAAATAAAATAAAGGTATTGTGTCTATCTACAACTAAAAAAAGGGGATTTTTTTCCCCACATATACACAAAATAATACATTTGCTAATAGTACAGCTAACAGTAGAGTTAATTCATGTTTTCAATATGCCAGACATTATTCCAAGATGTTCACATTTGATACATCATCCCCATGCATCCCAGCCAGGAAGCGGCTACGGTGAGTGTGCTTGCTTTGCAGATGAGGAAACTGAGGCTTGGTGATGTTAGGTGAGTCGTCCAGTTTCTAGGCATTGGTGGAAGCAGTATTAGAAGCAGGTGGTTAACTCCAGAAACTCAATTCTTACCATGTGATACTGGCCCTCCAGTATGTGTGTGTGTGTGAATATTGCACATTGACTTTAAGTTTTACCCATTGATTTTCAGTACTTTTCATAACAAAATATGTTGAGTTCAAAAGGATATAAAATTATCTATAGAGCATGAGTACAACCTCTTGCCTTGAGTATATAGAATCAGAAAAAGAAGCATATTAACGTGGTGACAGTGTGCATCCACTTCTGGGCTGTATTTGGGAGATAAGCATTTCCTCTCTCTCCTTTTGATGCTCTGTAGTTTGTAAATTTTCAGCAAAATCATGCTCTACGCTGCTGCCCCAGTATGAAAGACCCTGGGTCACTACCCGTAGACACCCAGGAAGAAGTCACTAACTCTCTCTTTGCCAGCCCCCAGCCAGATGAACTGGGCTCTTTCCCCAATGTGGCCTCTGGTCTACTTGTCACGTGTCTCAAAGCAGAGAAGCCAAGGCCTTTGGCACCTGGCTTCAGTACTTACTGACCGTCACATCACATGGTCATTATTCTGGACTTGGACTGGTAATTTGGGGGTAAAGTCACAAGCCAAGAAAGATTCCACAAGCTGTGCCCAAGGCTGCTGGAAATGCCCTTGACAGCAAAGTCACCACCCAGAGAAGGGTGACCCAGAGCAGAGACCATTTGCTTACAGCTGGCCCCAGCCTCATTCCATTCGATTCACATAGCTTTGGGCTACACTGTGTTCCGTTTGTGTTTATTGTCACTTTTAATTGAATCACCTGACAATTTCCAACTGAAGCGCCTCACAGGATCATCAGAGGCTCCATGATCGTCAGGTGGAGCAGTGACAGCCATGCCCTCGGGTGGATGTGGGCCACAGTCTCCACCACTTGCGACCACCTCCCGGACACCTCATCTGTCACCCTGTGCCTGAGCTGTTGCTGCCTTTCAAACAGCAGAGGGAGGCAGACCATGGAATATGCCCTGTGTTCATGTTTCAATCAAAAGAGGAAATCTGATAGGAGGGCCACGAGTCTTGAGTCTCAACAACAATAGAAGAGGGCAGCTTCCCTGGGTACCTCTGGCTCACTGATGTGACCTCCCTGGTCCTAGCTGGTCTTTGAGTGTTCTACTTCTGGCCGAGAGGGTTCCTGAGAAAGAAGTTCAAGAAGACCACATCCTTCCTCATTTTCTGGAGCGATTCCTGGCCAAAATGACTGCCTCCTATTCCTGTCAGCCTCCTACCCCTTCTCAGTGGCTGACACTGCCAGGCACCTGCAGTCACCAGAGGGCTTGGTGTCCACACAGCCAAGGGACACTTAGAGGGACAAAATGCAGGTGAGGAAGGGGGGAGGGCGATGCTCTCAGGAGCACAGGAGCCTCATCCCTGAGTCTCTTTCAGCACCTGGATCCCAAAGAGCTTTTTGACTTAAGGAGAGGTTTCCTCTCTTCAGAGACTAAGGCATTTCTAGAGAAGAGAGGGCAGACAAAACAGCCAGTGTGGGAGCTGACTCTGCTTACCACGTTCTTCATCCCTCTACATCTTTGCTTTCACTCCTGGGGACAGGACCACATCAGCAAATTTGAAACATTCCTCCAAGGTATAGGCCTTCAATCAAACCAAGTTGACTACTTCAAGTAGATAAAGGTGAGGATCTGCCTGTTCCATGTCACCCTGGTAACCCTACATACTGAAGGTGACTGTGCACACTGGCTGGTGAGACACATCCTTGGGGCAGCCATGCCTCAGGCCCTCCACCCGTCCCGACAGGGAACATCAGCTTCCTGCTCTGAGCAGGTGTGGCCCTCTTCGGGACATCACCTGGCAGGGGGCTGGGTATTGAGTTGGGATGTTCCCGAGTGAGTTTTGGGTGCTTCAGTTGTGACACATGGGTTAACCCCAGCCTCTATGAGCAGAGGGGTCACATGGAGGACATTCAGGAGGCTGCCAGAGAGAGGAGACTTATCCAGAAAGGGACCTCAGGTCCAGCCCTTCCTCCACACAGAAAGGGAGACAGAGGCCCAGGAAGGGTTTTATCCTGCCTGGGGAGACTGAAAATTAGTGGAAGATCTGAGAAGGAAAGCCCGAGGAATTGAAGTCTATCTTCCATGATGCCCAGCTTGTCTCTCCTCCAGAGCTGATGCTCAGGACTCTGCACACCAAGCACCTTCTGTTTTTTCCTCCCCGATTTGTCAAAGCCATTCCCAGGAAAAGACAGAAAGCTCTTTCCCAGAGAGGAGGAATGGAGTCCCAGGCCTTCTGGAGGACAGTATTTCTTGAGAAATATCTCCCTTGGTGACCAGACCTGCCTTACTCTACCCACACCTGGCCTGTAGTGGGGGGAGCGAGAGAGGTTCTGTAACTGGGGGTCTCTGCCCTAGAGGGAGGTGGCGTAGAGATACAGACCCAGGAGGTCCCACTCCCTGCCCATAGACAGAGATTTTGTAGCAGCTGAGGCTAAGGTGAGTTGGGTACTTGTTACTGGGCCACCTCAGTCTTTGTACAGAGTCTTTATGAATAAAAACAGGTTCAGTTCTAGGAAGGAGGTGGGCTGGAAGCACATCTCTAAAACGTTATTGTTTAAGAATGGGCTTCGCTCACGACTCCCAGGCATGGGTTTGAATAGCATGGCTCTGTGCTTGCGCTAAAGCAGTAGCCATGACATTCACTCGCCAGAACATGAAGCTCTAATGGCTGTGAGGGCCAGGAGCCAGGGATGGTGGGAGAGGATGCACAGGTGTGTGGGACAGGCAATGCTAAGACCAGCAGCTCTGGAGTAGGATGGATCGGGTTATGAGTCCCAGCTCAGCCAGGGACAGCGTCATGAGGCTAAGAGCCGTGCGGCCACACGGGCTCCATGCTTGGGTTAATGGTAAAATTCCTAACTATTTTTTTGCTGTTGTTTTCAACAATCAGTCCTTTCATTTTCATTTGACATGGGGTGCTGTCAAATAATGTAGCTGGTCTTTGCTCGCTGTCACTAAGTGTTCTTGAGAAACAGTTTTCTCTGGGAACTTCAGTTTTCTCATCTGTAAAACAGAGGTAATGGTAGCACCTGGCTCATGGAACTGTCACAAAGATGAATTAAGTGAACACATGCAGAGCTCTCAGCAGGTACCTGCCACTAACCTGTCATGTACTAAAGACTTGACTCATGACAGTTACTACTACAGCTAGAGTAATGAGAACACACATTGAGGAAGAGCCAGAGGCAAGGTGTGTGCACGTGTGTGTGTGTGTGTGTGTGTGTGTGTGTGTGTGCGTGTGTGTGTATGTGTGTGTGTGTGCATATGTGTGTGAGATTCCTGTCTCTGGGAATTAGGGTGCAGCACATGTGGTCAGGATTATTGGATTAGGGTGCAACCTGGATTCTGTACAGTGGCCTTTTAGAACATCTCTAGAACATGACATGATAACATGAGTGCCCTGCTCAATAACAAGGATGTTAAAAACTCCATCCCAGATTCAGCCACCCAGGAAAGAGTCAAGGTCCCCAGACACCAGGCTTCCCCTTCCCTGGCCTCTTACCTTCCCGAAATGGCTGTGTTTGCATCTGCAGCCGGATCTTGATGAGGTCCACGGGCCCGCCCAGCCCAACAGAGACCATGCCAGCCACCATGCTGGCTAGGAGCAGGTCAGACAGGCTGTGGCGAGGACTGGTCTCGGGCTCCCCGCAGCGGTGTTGGCTGAGGAACCGCTGTGTGTTACTGAAGACCCCAAACACCACTGAGTTGTAGACAGCGATGCTGGCCAGGGGGAAGGACATGCCCTTGAAGAAGCCGAACACCTGTGGTGAGACCCAGTGAGGGAAGCATGAGGCCCAGGGATGCGGCCTGGCCCCCTGCAGGCCACACTGCCCTGGCCTCTGATCAGCCACTGTGTCGGTGAAGAGCCTTGAAGAGGAACCTGATGGGACAGGAGAGGGCTGCTGAAACTCAGGGGCAGGCGTGCCTGCCACTGAAGAGAAATCACGTCTTTTAATTTTTTTATTTTTTGGAGGGTACTGGGGATTGGACTCAGGGAGAATTGACCACTGAGCCACATCCCCAGCCCTATTTTGTATGTTATTTAGAGACAGGGTCTCACTGAGTTGCTCAGCACCTCACTGTTGCTGAGGCTGGCTTTGAACTCTCGATCCTTCTGCCTCAGCCTCCCGAGAAGCTGGGATTATAAGCGTGAGCCACCGTAACCAGCTGAGAAACCACTTCTGCACAATGTTTTGTCTCCTGTGTGGTGGTCTCCAGGCCACCTGATGCTTCAGTGGCAATGTCTGGGGCTGGCCCATGGGGCACCTAGGGAGAAGTGGCTAACCACCATACATAGCTCCTTATTTGACCCTCAAAGCATTTTCTGGTTACTTCCCATGTGCCAGGCCCTAGGGGACAATAAGAAACAGACTTCACCCTCACTGAGCTCACAGTCTAGGGACAGAGCAGTTGAGGGCAAGGGCAAGCGACAGACAAATTGACAGGCAATTACAGTGCAATTCACTAAGCCCTTGGTGAGTTTCTTCAGGGGTACATGGGTCAACCTGCAGATGGGGGCCCTGAGCATGAATGTCTCCTGACATAAGTGGCTGAAGAGGGAAGTCCCTGAAGGACACGAGAGCGGCCCTATGCCTGCACAGGGGGCTGAGGAGAGGTGCTGCAGGCTGGGGTCAGGGTCTTTTCTGTACTGCATTCTCAATGAGCACTGCACATGGGCTCTGAGGAAACCCAGAAAATTCCATAGGCCCTTGGAAGAGTCAAGGCAACACCCAGATGCCAAAATAAAAATGTTCTAGGAATGTTCTAAAAAGCCACTGTACAAAATCCAGGTTGTGCACTAATCCAATAATCCTGACCACATATGCTGCACCCTAATTGCCAAATACAGGAACCTCACACACATATGCACAGACACACACACACACACACACACACACACACACACACACACTCTGCTTCTGGCTTTTCCTCCATAACAAGGTCCTTCAGATAACTTAGGACGCTGCTTAGCCAGGAGCTGTGGCACTTTAGAGAAACCACCTACAGTCCCCATCGAAGCCCCAGAACTGGGACACTGGCTGGTGGACTCTGTGGGGAATGGGTGCCAAAATGGAGACAGACCCAAGGGTTGACTTTCAGGGGACTTGGGGATCACACCACATTACCCTGGAACACCAAGTACAAGGTTTGCAGTGCTTGCCCTGATTTCAAAGCAGTCAGTCGGGAGAGTTAAATCACCCTGATGCAAGATGCCCTTTGTGGACAATGTCACAGTATTGTAGGAGGCTCCCAAGCCCTAGTGTACTAGAAAAGAGCAGTCACCATAGATCACATTTCCTGGGACTCAAGGAAAATCTGCAGGAATACCACAGAGCTTGTGTTGACTTTCTGTTTCTTTCTTCGTCTTCTTTTTTTTTTTATTTTCACAATGAACTTTATATAATATCTTTATTTGTTCTTTTTAGTATGTGACAGTACAGTGTGTTTTGTCATGTTATACATACATGGAGTATAACTTATTCTAATTAGGATCCTGTTCTCGTGGTGGTACATGATGTGATGTTTCACTGTATTCATTTTAAATATATTCATTTCATTCTGAGTTTTCAAACTTATTTTAAATCTCTCAAAGACGGGCCTTAAAATCTCACTTGGTAATTCTCAAGAAGGAAACTGATGTGTCTTTTACAAAACTTTAGCCAGTTTTTCTTTTTTTCTTTTTAAAATTTTTATTAGTACCTTATAGTTACACATAATATTGGGGTTCATTGTGACATAATTAGAGATGCATGGAATAATATTTTCTCCAATTCAGTACTTCCACTTTCCGTCGTTTTCTCCTTTCCCCTGACCCCTTTCCTCTATCCTATCAATCTTTCTTCTATTTATTTATAGTTTCTTTTTAAAGGAGTGCATTACAGATGTACATAAAGGTGAGATTCACTGTGGCATATTCACATATGTACATAGGATAGTTGGGTCATTTCTTTCCACCATTCTTCCCTTTTTCCATCCTCCCTCCCTCCCTCTCAATCTCCTTCCTCTACTCACTCCCCTGATCAGAAAAGCTTGGGTCACATGGTGAGCTCAGTGTCCCCAGGCACACGGGGATACATACCTGTGGGCACATGGTTTCCCCGCCACTCATTCCAACTCAAAAACTGACAGGCCACCTTGTTTATGCAGGAATTTTCCACACTGCCGTTTTATATTCCTCAGATTTCTCCGGAGAGGTTACACAGAACCAGGTTTTTCCCCAATAATATTGTAGTAGGTGACAGGATAAGTTAGGGTAACATGTAGTATGTGGGGCAAGAAGAGAAGGAAAAATCAGGCCAAGGTGATGAGCGGAATGAGTGGCCTCCTGCCTTACACACTGGTGTGGGAGCCGTGGCCTGGGCCCCAGCCCAGTGAAACCCTGGCAGGGATCCCTCCTCCCACGGGGTGGGGGGGGACACTTACACTCTCTCTCTTGTACATGGTGCGGATGCAGCTGAAGGTGTTCCCGTAGCCCACGCCAGCCTGCAGGCGAGTCTGTGGAGACAGACAAGGACAGGGGTCATATGAAACCAATCACATCCCCATAGCCCCAAAAGATGCCCAGAGGAAGAAGACCCTGCCCAAAGTGACCCAGTCAGGAGCCAGCCTGGCCAGCCTGCGCTCTGTCTTCTGCAGACACTGTCCTGTTCTAATGTCCCACTCAGTCCTGCTCAGTGCAGCAGAAGCTTGCTTTGCCTACAAGAAGGACCATGGCCAGTCAGCTATGCAAAAATAATGGCTGCTGAAGTATGGTCTCTGCCGACTGAGTACAAATATCCAACTGGGGCTCTCTCCTATCAGCCTCTGTCCGTCATTCCCACACCTCGCACATCCCTGGGAGACCTGCTCTTCTTGCCCCCAGAATCACCACCCTGTCCTCACTCCTTCACCTCTCACCTGGACAAAGGCCTGGCCTTCCCTCTTCCTGTCTCTTTGCACAATCAATCTGATCATGTTCAAACATCAACGTCACTCTGGTTAAAGCTGTCCAGTGGACTCCCACCAAACTTAAAATAAATTCTACACTCTGCCTGTATCTAGAGAAACCTCGGGTAGAAGGTAGGGGACCCCTGAGCTTGCCCCTTACCCCACAGGCCATTTCCTGCCCATGCCTTGGCCTCCATGCCCACCACACACACATTCCCAATCTCTGGAGCAGCCAATCTCTCCCACCTCTAGACTTTTCTCTGACTGTTCCCTCACCTTCAAAGACTCTTCCTCCAGCTCCTGTTCTCTTGGGTCTGACCATAGCAATGGCCTTATCTGCTTGTTGACATAGGGTTTATGTTGGATTACCCGAATAAGGCAGGGCCATCTGTCTACCTTCCCCTTTTGTCCCCAGAGTTGAGCACAGCCTTGGCACAATGGCTGCTCTGCACTGGCTAACTGAGGGGCTGAAGGTGAAGGCATGGTGTCCTCTAAGGAAGGCTGGCTTTGGTGACTAGGGACAGCAAATAACAAACAGAGGGTCTGAGGAAGCCCACAAAATTCCCCAGGTCACCTCCTACCCTGGTCTCAGAGGATTTCACTTCTTTAAAGATGCGTAGCTTATTCAATGGTTTGGCGGTAACTATGGCATGCTACACCCATGCAGGAGGGGAGCTGTGAGAGTCACAAAGGAGGAGATGCTGGCCCTGTTCCCTCAGCACCCAGGCACACTGAGGAGCTAAGACCAGGGAAGATGGAGACTCTTCACACAAACTTCCTGAGCTTACCACCAAGGCAAGTAGAGAGGACCCAGGAGGAACACCGTCCTCACGGTGGTGGTCCCCTAAGTGATGCTTTGGGGCATGGAACTTTTCTCCATTTCCAACTTTCCTACAATAAGCGAGGGTGACTTTCATTATTTTTAGCTTATATGGTTTTAAAGATAATTTTAAATATACAACTAATATGGAATGAATACAATCTCTCAATTAAAAAGTTTTAATATCACGGATAAAGGTGAATCCTCCTTTGGCCTACTCTCTCTCCCTCTGCCCCTCCCAGGAGCAATAATCATGACGAGTAGCATGGCCAAAGGTTTGATTGGCATCCATCTATTTTTATAAACACACATAGCCATAGGAAATAAGCAGGAAAGGGTATCACATTGTTCATAAGTATTACTTTCATAATCAGGGACGGGAAATGTATTTATTGACTCATTCAATCAATATTTGTTGAGTGTCTGCAGCAAAGGAGTCTGTTCCAACCTCAGGAAATTCTCAATAGAGATGACCAAGTCTTTGACCTCATGGAACTTACTAGGGCTGGAAAAAATAGTCAATAAAAAAATAATTCAAAGGTAAATATGTATGTTCAATGGTGATATGCTAAGGAGACAAACCACAGATAGGAAAGGCCGGGTGGTGATGAAGAGACTCACTTCTAAATTGTGTGGCAAGAGGGACACCGGGAAGAAAGAGCAAGATGGAAACTGGGTTATCATGTTCTCCTTGCTAAGCAGAGGTCTACCTTAGGGTGGGGTGTCCCCAATGAGGACAGTGATGACTTGATGTAGATCTTTCTCTATGCCCCATGTAAAGCTGGTTTGAGATCCTACGCTGTCCCGTTGTCCCTGGATAATGGATCCACGCAATGATAGGGTCCCCAGAAGGATCAAGTTTCCACTAAAGCTGAGAGTTCATACTACTTAAGAAAATGGTACATGGGGGGGACTTGAACCAGAGCAGAACCCGGACCATAGGATAATTTCAAAGCCATGGAACAAAGGTCTTCCTAGCATGTTGAGTTCAGCATGGCCCTGAGGCAAGTGGCAAAGCCCACGGCCCTAGGATCACCGGTTACAGCAGGAGCTGGCATTTAGTATGCACCAACTACACACAGGGCATCCCGTAGAAGTCACCTCACTGAATCCCACCCATGCAGAGAGGCAAAATACCACCCACATTTTCCATATGAAGAAAGCTGACTCTCTGTATTAATTTCATATCACTTTGGAAGTGGCTGAAGCAACACAGGTTTAGTCTTATACAATTCTAGATGCCAAAAATCCCAGCTTCATGCTACTGAGGAGCCAGAGGCTAGCTCCTCCACCCAGCTACCTATTTTCACACAATATCATAACTGAGAAAAACTTAATTTATATAGAACAATGTTGATAAAAATAGTAGCTACCAATTTGAAATGTCTGCTGGGTACCAGGAGCAACATTCTTGCCTTATATTTAAACCAGGGATTTGGGCCCTAACAGAAGGCTATACAGACAGGAAATGGCAAAAAGTAGGGTTCAGGGGCTGGGGATGTGGCTCAAGCGGTAGCGCGCTCGCCTGGCATGTGTGTGGCCTGGGTTCAATCCTCAGCACCACATACAACAAAGATGTTGTGTCTGCCGAAAAGTAAAAAAGAAATATTAAAAAAAATCTCTCTCTCTCTCTCTCTCTCTCAAAAAAAAATAATAATAAGTAGGGTTCAAACCCAGAGCCTGCATGATTCCAAAGCCTGTGCTTTCGAGGCTCAGCTTTGCTGCCTGCCAGTGATCACCTTGTCAACTGGCCTGTCAATTACATCCTGGGATGGAACAGAATAGGGAGAGTTAGGCAAGTTGGAAAGTATGGGGAGGTCAGGGACAGCCTGTTCTTCCTAAAGTCATCAAGAATGGCATCTGAGTCTTCCAAGTCTTCACAAGGCCCAGTCCAGGAGAGGTATATAGCAGCTTCCCTGCACTGGGCTGAGATCCTGGATAGCCGTTTATTTATCAGGTGCTCTCTCTCAAGACAGTGCCCTGCTCTGAACCAAGCTGTGCTCTGAACAGGGCAGAGTTGGAAACTACTGGCTAGGAAGCTCAGCCTTCTCGCTGTGATGCACTCTTGGGATACCTGGCCTGCCCTCAGGGAGACCAGAGAGAACCCATGGGCATCCGCAGATATCACAGAGGTGTGGAGGACCCTCCAGAGGGCTTGGCTTGGCTCTGGAGTCTTGGGGGCTTTACATCTGGACAGCAGGTCACAGCCTTAAGATGCTGGACAGTCCACTCCAGACCTGAACTTACTCTAGAGCTCTCCTGGGTGGACTCTGGGAGCCAGGGCCTGGGTGTGCAGGGCTGATGGGAAGAATGGACACCCTGGCTGACCTGCCACCATGCAGTCCTGCATGTGCAAGGACAATGGCCACAAAACATCCACCTCTGTGGGCCTGCAACCTCCACCTTCTCTGGCCCCCTGAAAGATGGACCCCAGCAGCCATTGTGCCCAGAAAAGGGAATGGGGAGGCTGGACAGGCAGAGCCCCTGGGATGGCCCCCTCCTTGGCATCTGAAGCAGCCCTCACCCTCTTCTGCATAAGCCTTTCTACCAGCTTGTGCCTCTGTCTGAGCACTCTGACCTCCGTTCTCTGTGGGTGGCTTTTTGTATCATTTGACCACCTCCCCTTCAGAAAGGCCATCTTGACCCCCCCATTATAGAGAAGCCCCTAGTGACTTCTCATCACCTTGCATTATTGTCTCCCTCGCACCTACAACAGCTTAAAAATGCCTTGTGCGTGTATCATGTTCCCTAATTATTGTCCCCTTTGAATGTTTGTCCCCTCACTTGCCTCCCTCACTGCTAAATCATCAGACTTAGTGGTCAGCTAATGGCTTCTGCAGATGGGGACTGGATGGGTGGACAAGTGCCCAGTCTCCCTCCCTCAGTGTCTCCAGTTGGCTCCATTGGCACCTTCCTCTTGTGACATCCCCCCCCCCCCTCCGGCCCACCCACATACAATAGCAAAGCTCCTATCACAGTCCTCCCAGCCTCCCTGCATGGCTTTCTCTCAGGCACTCAAACAAGTGCTTGGCAAAGAAGTGCTTCGAACAAACCAGACTCTTTATCCTCTTCAATTCAAGAGGCTCCTTCCTCGTCCACCCTCTCATGAGGGTGGGCAGCAAAGGTCTAGGCTCTCCTTGGAGCAAACATTCTTCTTAGCCTGAGACTGGCTGCTGCTTCTGCTCAGTTGGTAGGCCTCGAAGCTTCCCCTTGGCCTCAGCGATAGTTGTAGGGCCCTCTGAATCCCGGACACAGAATCCCGTGATGCCCTGGCGTGTATTCCACACATTACAGCCTCACTCCAGGCTGCTTTTCACTTCCCTGGGGAAGCGAAACCTGGGACTCCCCACTGAAGTCTAAGGACCTACCATCCTGCAGTCCTGAATGTGCAAAGACAATGGCCACAAAACGTCCACCTCTGTGGGCCTGCAGCCTCCTCTTCCTCTGGCCCCCTGAAAGATGGACCCCAGCAGCCCATCTTTCACCAGCCATTGTGCCCAGAAAAGAGACTGGGGAGGCTGGACAGACAGAGCCCCTAGGATGACCCCATCCTTGACATCTATCTGCAGCAGCCCCCACCCCCTTCAGAAAAGTCACCTTGACCCCCAGGCCTCCTGGTCCCAACTCCTGTTCCTCTGGGTCCCTCTGCTCTGAACACCCAGGCAGATGGGAGAATGCACTGACCTTGGGAGCCTCAGCTGAAACAGCAGAGGACCTCAGCTGACCATGGACAAGGTATGGCCTCGAGGATGGTTTCCAAAAGGGAGGCCTTTCCAGAGCCCAGTTCTGACCACTTTGGCCAGGAGTATTGGGGGTGCTGTTCATCCCGGGGCCAAACCCACAGCAAGCTGACTGGTGGTTTTGAAAAAGTGGCTCTGGGCCATCGTCCTTCATTCAGGAAACCTATATTGGGCCCCAGTTTGTTCCAGGGGCTCTAAATGTAATGAAAACACTGACCAGTGAGATAGGCTTCCTGGAGGCTAAGTCCACTTTGGGACTTTGAGTCCCAGCCCTAATACAGTCCCTCTCTAAAGTCTGGTTCCTGCCTTTTATCTCTCTCATTGTGTCTACAATGGAAAGCTCATACTGCTTGGCTCACTACCACAAATGCCCACTGTCCAGCACTGGCCCTGCCTGCCATCTTCTTGGTTGGGGCTATTAGCCAGTGTTCTGTTACCCCCGCCCCCATCAGCTCATGAGAATCTGCAGGCAGGGATGGAATATTCACACCCTGCTTTTCTATGTATATTAAGACAAGTAGGATGATCTTGCAGTTGAGAAGAGAGTAGGCCTGAGCTCTGACCTCAGAGGGGCCCATTATCATACAGGGAGGAAGATAGTGAGAAAGGAAATTGTAGCACAACCCAGGGGGATCTGGAAGTCAGGAGTGAGAAGACATTATGTATGGCCACATTCCCAGGTGACCGAGTCCTGTTCACCTCTGGGGACAGAAGACAGGGGTAGGGTGGGGTCAAAGAGCACTCTTTTGTAGCATCTAACTCCTCAGATTTGAACTTATGTGACCTAAGGCAAGCACTGTCCCCTGTCAGAGATAAATCCCAATGTCAGAATGGCCCTGCTCTCTCGAGAGTCTTCACATCCTTTATGCCTGATCAAGTTACAATGGCTCCCACTCCCAACTAGGTCCAAGGTGCTAACCTGACATTCAAGTTCTCTGAAGATTGAGTGCTGACCTGCTTTACCTGGATTCTGACCCAAAGCTGCATCAGGAACCTGACATATCAGCCAAACTGGTCATCTGGCCTTGCCCAAGCATGGTTCCTACCTGACATCTCTATCGCAGTGCCTTTTAGACCTGTGCTGTCCCCGTGCCTGATACATCTTTCCTAATTATCTGAAATTCAACCTTACATTTTGGGCTCAATTGCAACCTCACATTTAAAGCCTTTCTTGATTGTTCAGCTGTAGAGGGACTTGGAGGAGGATATTGGCCATTGTCCTGTCCTCTACTTCATCAACTCATGAGAACCTGAGGCAGGGATGGGACATTCACAGGAACAAATTCACCATCAAGCAGAAAGGGGAGAGCCATTCCAAACCAGGACTTCTGGCACCCCCCAGACCTCTGAGCCGGAAGCAGAGAGCCTTCCCTGGACTAGAGAATCTCAGGAGAATCAGAAAGAGTGGGCACAGACCCAGAGGCTCCAAGATGTAATGGGAAACATGGGAACTGTACCTTGACTGTGTCCAAAGGGTGGCCAACAATGACACTGGCTGCACCTGTGGATCAAAGAATAATATCTGGTCACTCATACCTTGGACTCCTTTTTGTATCAGCTGGCTCTTGGAACAGGACGGAGGACTCAGGTATATGGGTTCACTCATTCAGTCGATGATCAGTTGCTACAGAGCTTCCAATGTACACTAGTCCAAGTACCAAGGAAGGCAGAGAAAATGGAGCCAACCTAAACCTTGATTTAAGCACCTCAGAGAAGGAAAATAAGGTGCTGAGAAAATGGCATGCATATGCAGAAGAATGGATTTAGTTCCCTACCTCATATCATACAAAATATTAATTCAAAATAGATCAAAAATATAAATGGGAGAGCTAAAACAATAAAACACTTAAACTAAAACATAGGGGGGAAAAAACTCCATGACCTGGGATTTGCAATGGACTCTTAAGTATAATACCAAAAGCACCAGCAACAAAAGAAAAAATATAAACAGGATTTCACAAAACTGAGAAGCTTTTGTGCATCAAAAAACATTCTCAAGAAAGTGAAGACAACTTGCAGAATGGAGGGAAATATTGGCAAATCATGTATGTGATAAGGGTCTAGTATCCAGAATATATAAACTCTGACAACTAAGAAAATTGTTAAATGGGTAAAAGGACTTGAATAAACACTTCTTTAAAGAAGATACAAATGGCCCAGAAAGACATGAAGAGATGTTCAACATTTAGGGAAATGCAAGTCAAAATCACAATGACATTCCCTTGTATACCTGATAGGAAAATAATAAGTGTTGGCAAGGCTGTAGGAAATTGGAAGTCTTGTATGTTGTTGGTGGGAATGTGAATGGGTGCAACCATTGCGGAAAACAGTTGGATGATTCCTTAAAATAAATTAAACATCAAATTATAGAATTACTACACAACCCAGAAATTCTATTTCTAGAGATAGAAATATCTAAGAACCAAAAACTAGTACATATTCATGCATGTTCATGTCAGTATCATTTACAAAAGCCCAATGTCCACCAACCAATGAATCAAGAGTGGTATGTCCATTCATACAATGGAATATTATTTAGCTATAAATAGGAATGAAGTACTGAACATGCTACAATATGGATGAACCTCAAAAAACACATGCTAAGTGAAATACATCAGACACAAAGGCAACATGTTGTATAATTCCACTTATGCGAATTATCTAGAACAGGTAAATTTGTAAAGAAAAAAAAGCAAATTAGTGGGTTTACAGGGCTGTGGGCAGGGGAGATGGGAGTGGCTGTTTAATGGGTACAGGACTTTCTTTGTCCATGTTAAAAAGTAAACTGAAACACAATAAAATTTTAAAGCATTTGTTGAGCAAACAAACATTTATGAATTGGACAACTGCAAGGAAGGAGTGGTTCAGAAGCTCCACACACAAGAGAATGACAGAGGAAGCTTCTAGATACAGAGATGCAGCAGGGAAATCATGATCATGTGAGCTCTAATGATGGGGTGCAGGCTCAATAAATGCATCGTTAAGTGGTTTCATCTTTGGGCAAACACCAGAGTGTACTTACACAAACCTGGATCCTGGAGGGTTCAGCCTACTGCACACCTAGCTACGTGGCATGGCCACCATCAACTACATGGTCCGTCACTGACAAAGATGAGACTTTGATGTGCAGCACATGACTGTATTTGATTGGTTACACAGGTGCTGTCTTAGGTATGTCCTGTTGGAAAGTCCCTAGTTATGTAAGTTAGCTAATTACTTCTGAGTCATCAAGCATCAATTCTGCTTTCCTTTAATATAAGAATTTACAAGAAATAGCCCAAGTCGTTTTACTCATGTTTGCAAATTAAGCAATGTTAAGGTCTCTGAGACCTCACTAACTTTGTCTGCCCAGGGATTCTTCAGGTCTGTCCTGATTTACTTTAATCATCAGGAGGAAAATGGTTTAGAACTAGATAAAGGTGATGGTTTCACAGGATTGTAAAGGTACAAAAAATGCCACTGGATTGCACACTTTCAAATGGCTAATTTTACATTATGTGACTTTCAACTCAAAAAGCAAGGGGGTGAAGAGAAAATCCAGCAACTTTTAAGTTATCTGTAGGTTATTCAACTTTTCTTGTTTCATTTTATTTGAAGGGGTTGGGGACAGGCACTGGAGATTGAATCCAGGGGCACTTTACCACTGAGCCACATCCCCTGTCCATTTTTTTTTTTTTTTTTGAGAGGGCCTCAGTAAGTCACTAAGGCTGGCCTCAAACTTGTGATCCTTCTGCCTTAGCCTCCCAAGTAGCTGGGATTACAGGTGTGCACCATAGATATTGTCACTTTTGAATGATGTTCTTTTAAAGATCCAAAGGTGATGGATACAATGGACCTTTTCATTAAAAAAAAAAAAAAAAAAAAAAAAAAAAAAAAAAAACCTGTCTTCACAGAGGCCTGTACCATTCTGGGAAGAGCAAGGCCGCCTAGATAAAGAAGCCCTTGTGGAAGTTGGTGACTGAGATTCAAACAGGAGCTGTTCTTCCAAAATAAATTTTCCAGTCCAGTGACTTAAGAGACAATGGCTCTGCCAGCAGAAGTGATTTAACCAAGTCAGCTAAGTCAGGGCCCTGGAATATTCTGTATTTATAGGGACAGAGAATTTAGCTAATCCTTTGGTCCAGATCTTCCTGTCCTCTCTCACCTCATCCTTCTCCCTGAACTGGGCAGTGGCACAGAAATGATGGTCGGTGGAGGTCAGAAGAAAACCTGGAGCCTTCAGTCCCACTTGGCAGGACCCCTCCCAGCAAGATGGAAGGAGCTCTGGTCCTCAGGCTGGGAGGCAAGTCCCCCCTCTGCCTTGAGCACAGTTCAGCTCTGGTCTTGGGTCAGCGTCTCCCTGTTCACACTCATCAGCCCACCCATCTGGAAAGCAAGAGGTGCCAGATTTTTTAAAATAGGATTTGGGGGTCAGTAGTTTCCAGATCTTGGGATCTCAAAGACTTCTATAACTCCAAATAAAACATGGAGGTTGTTATGGGGAAATTTTTCCATACACGGTTGTTAACAAAGACAACAAATATAGACAAGTCTGGGAGTTATCACCCTGGCAGTCAGACCCTGGTGCCCAGTTGTCTGGGTCAGAATACCAGTGCCCATGTTAGATGCATGGGCCTTAGGATTTCTTTGTACCTCCAATCTGTAAAATGAGAATGTAGTAGTACCCACTTCATTTAGGGTTATTAGTAAAGAAATATGTATGAACAAATGCAAGACACCCCACTTTTCAGGATTTAGCTGCTATGAAAGATCCAGGAAAGGCAAATTTAGAGAAGGCAGATTAGTGGTTATCTAGGGGGAGGAAGGGAAGCAAAGATCAGCTGTTAATGGACTTGAGAGATCTTTCTGGGGGTTGACAATGCTCAATAACTAATTTATAGTGACAGTTGCACCACTTGGTAAAGTTGCTAAAAATCATTCAATTGTACATTTGAAATGAATTTTATGATAGGTAAAATTAACTTCAATAAGTTATGCATAAACCTCAGTAAAGTTACACCTAGTAAGCATTCATGTGACTACCTTCACCATCATTTCATGCAGGCAAAAACAAATAAACAAACAAAACAAAACAAAAATAAGGGCAATCTCAGAATTGTCTTATCAGAGGACTGGGTTCCTCTGCCTCAGCCCACCCTCCAGGGCAGTTCTCAAACCCAGCCAGTAGGCAACTCTACTGAAAACTAAAGGGGCCATACAGGGAGGGGTCTCCCCCCTCTGTCTACCCCTCCAAGTGGTTGAAGGACTGTTCAAAGAGGGCTTGGGTATGTCAAATGGGCCTTTGGCTGGTCAATTTAGGAGAGGCAATTCTCAGCCCCACCCAGAGGCTCCTGTGCCAACAGACTGGGTGCTGTGGAAAAAGCTATCTCTGTCCAGGAAGGTGTGTGCAGGACCAGTTGCCAGCTACCAGGGAAAAGATCAGAGTAGGTGGGAGGGGAGGACCTGGAGTCTTATCTGGTTTGTTGATCTTTTTACTTAGTGCCTTTGGGGGAGGGGCTGAATTTAACAGCATCTCTTTTAATTTTTTATATTTTTAAACAGCATCTCTTTTAATCTTGGGCGGGTCAAAATAAAGGTTTTTTTTTTCGGTTTTTTTTTTTTTTTACAATCAACAAGGTCCGTCAAACGTCTACACTTACTCCCTCATACCTGAGAAAGGAGGAATACAGGTATTTAAAAGGGAGAAGCAAGGAAATTGGATGCACCTCTGGCCCAAGCAACCCACCTGAGGTCCAGCAGAGCAGCTCAGGGAGTGATGGCGAAGGGACCAGTAGGCCCAATAGTGCCAGGAAGGACCTTGAAGGAACGCATTGGCTGAGGGCTGACCACTGCTGAGAACAGGAAGGGTTCCTGCCAGCTGTTACTGAGCACCTGCAGTCTGGAGCTCCTCTCCCTGCGCTCTGCTCCTTCCAATCCGGGCGCCCCCTAGAGCCAGCCGGACCTTGCAACCCCTCACCATCCGGCGCCCAGGATTCAGGGGCCAAGCGCCAACTCGCATCCAAGTTCCTGCTAGCCACGTCCCCAGATTCAGGTGCAAACCCGTCGCTGAAGGGTGGGTGCCCGCCAGGGAGGCTCCATTGGCTGTGAGCTCTACGGACTGCTTAATCATTACCAGATCAAGCTCCTCGGATCCTAAGGTTGAAGCAAATCAGCTCAGGGTCAATCATGAAACTCGAGGAGTTCCACTGAGTAGCCAGACCACCCGAGAGGACTCGAGGGCTTCGGACCGGGGACGCTCCCAGCACCAAGGCGTCGCGGCAGCCACGGGGCGTGAAGGAAAGTGCGGGGCAAAGTTTCCAAAGCCAGAGAACAACGTGCAAACAGCCGGTGTAGTGCCGGTAGCTCACGCTCCGGTCCGCGAAGTGTCCCCTCGCCACTCACCTCCGATCCAGCCCGCGGCAAAGTCTTCCAGCTGGAAGCTGCTCATGGCTGCTGCAGCGCCGCTTGCTCTCCCAGAGCCAGGGCAGTGCTCACTCAGTGCCTGCAAGACATGGCCCTCGGGGGCCAAGTGCTCTGATCAAAGTGGGAGTCTGGAGCCCTCTGCGGGTCTTACTCCTAACCCGGTGTCCAAGTCACCCGCTGCGCAGGCTGCCGGCTCACCTCTGCAAGTGCTCCCGGGCCGCTGACATCACGCCCCCAGTGGACCTTAAAGGCGCAGCACTCAGGCAGGATGAGGGTGCGCACCGCAAGTCCCAGGTCCAAAGAAGCAAGAGCCACCAAATGGAATTCCCTTAGCCCTCCCTACTTCTAGTCATCCTCTCCCTTGCCAAGTGCAGAGCCTCAACGCCTTTGAGGTGAAGGTGCTCGCCTTAGCCTGAAATAGATCACATTGCCTCTGACACTGGAAATGACTTGAGGGATATTTTTGTAAAGTTGAAGGGAGGGAAGTTTTATCCAAGATCAGGAAACATTTGGTTACAAACACCATAGTCTTGCTGTGATAGGATTATTTACCTGTGGGAACATGTCATCCTGTGCACGAGCTGAACAGCACAGAAATAATTTAGAAACCCATTCTTCATTATTTGAGGAGCTAATTAAAAGCCACAGATAGTTTTGCTATAAAGTACACAGAACACGTGAGCTTCCAAATGAGTATTAGAGTTAGGGAACCCCCTCAACCCCCCGGATCCCCCCTGCAAGCTCTCTCTGCATTCTCCGAGACCTTTGGGTTAAGAAACTCCTCCCCGCCCCCATTAGTAAGTAATGAGATAATATGTGGAAATCACATAGCTTTAACTCACCTCTAAATAAATACTAGCTATTATGGATGTCCAGCATTTTCTGAATACTTAAATCATGCCCTATTCCCTGTGCT